TTTATGACGAGTTTACCCTTGCAGTTCGCTGGTTAGGAGAATGTGCGCGAAAATACTGGAAAAATCTTGATTAATATGATTTATTGGATCTATCGAATCTAATGACCTATAATTGACCATATGACGACACCTAACAACATGGCCACATGTGATCACCCCCCCCCCCCCTCTCTCTCTCTCTCTCTCTCTCTCTCTACATATATATATATATATATATATATATATATATATATATATATATATATATATATATATATATATATATAATTCCCAAGATATATATATATATATATCTATGTATTCCCAAGTATATATATATATATATATATATATATATATATATATATATATATATATATATATCTATGTATTCCCAAGTTTCAAATGATTTTCTTATATATATATATATATATATATATATATATATATATATATATATATATATATATATATAGATATATATAAGAAAATCATTTGAAACTTGGGAATACATAGATATAGTCTTAATAACTCTAACTTTAAAATCAGGACATTAACTCATTGAAGGATACACTCATCGATCCAATCGAACTCATGACATACCAATAGAATTGACACGATAAGACAACAATAGGATACAAGAATAACAAACCGTAACCAAGTTACATGTTCCAAGTTCCAACCTTATACCACATTCCAATCTTACTCCACTCCATCCTTATAACAGTTCCAACCTTTACCTCCGAGACCACCCTGTACACCAGTCGAATCTTATCCCTTAGGAGCCATGCTCCCCACCTGCTTTTCTTCCAGCTTTTCATAAACATAATCATAATAGCACACGCAACGCCATATCATAAGCAAACACAGTGCAATATACCGCTAATCATTTTGAGCACGCAACTCGTTATCGCCAATCTCATTTCATTCATCATACAAAGACATCTACATAACATTCAAGGCTCAACAATACCCTCTTCAAAGGATAATCAAGGAAAAGTACACATATGTACCAACTCACGACAGTAAGTGACATCAAGATATTCATAAGATTCATAAGGGACATCATAGACTTTACTTTAATCGAACGAATTACAAAGTTTGATCGCATACATAATTCAAGACTCGCAAATCCTATTAGGGTACTTAGGACATCGTTCTAGACTTACGGGACATCAAAGAATAGATTCACTTACACGGGTATCGACCAACGGAGGCCAACAAATCACCGAACCTTACGTACCAGCAGGTGGTACAACAGGTAGACGACCACCCGCCAGCCCCCCACCGGATGCACACCACCGTTCCAGCGGGTGGTACGGCGGGTAGACGACCACCCGCCGGCCCCCCGCCAGATCTACTACCCGTATCAGCGGGATGTTTGGCGGGTTGTGAACCACCTGCCCGGTACCCGTTGGTACCGCAGCTGTGAAGAATTTCCCGCTTCGGGAATTATTCAAGAATACACAATTTTAAGTCCAAACACATCAAAACTCACATCAACAATAATAAGGACTTGAATACATAGAATAGCTCAACGAATAGAATTAACAAACCCTAAATACAAGCTCCAACAAGGCATAATCACAAGACAATGCATTCAATCATTCAAGGATACCAATAAATCATAATATAATAAAGTAAATAGGTTTTGTAATACATGGGTTACCTCCTTAGCTTATCAATCCAAAAGCAAAGCCAACTTAGACTCAACTCACAAGTCAATCAATCAAAAAGAGATCCATGCAGAAGATGACAAGTAGCTGCCAAGAACCCGCGGGTGTACTCACGGGAAGTTCAGTCCCCGCCGGCATGCCCGCTGGTACAGCAACGCTAACACGTTGCCGGAGGAAGATGAAGGCCTGAGGAGGGAACCAAAACTGCCGCCGAGAGGAGGAGAGGAAGACGCCGTAGCTGCCGAGACCTGCTGCCGTCGCTGCCACTTCACGTCCTTGCTAGGGGAAGCCGTCGGAGGTGCTTTGTGACACCCCGTAAATCCAAACTCAAATCAAGGATTAATTAGAGAATTAATCCTAGTCTCCTTGTTAATTTATTCCTAAAAATCCTGAAAATTCAATAGTCAAAGGACAAGAAATTGACTAGTCATTCAAGGTCAAAGGGTTGTACTTTATGCTTATTGGGTTGTGCCCTTATTTCCTTATTCTTCCAACTTTAGTAAGGGCAAAGATGTCTTTCTACCTAAGGTTTGTGGTTCAAGCTAACCTAGCAACATCTCTTCATTTCATTCACCAACAATGTAAACACAAAATCTCTACCTTCTCTCTAAGAAGTGGTAGCTTCTTCTCTAAGCTAGAATTTGGGCATCCTAAATCTTGCAAGTTGTCTCCCAAGATTCCTACTTTCCTTATCTTGAGCATAGGGGAGGGTAAGATCCTTGATCTTTTGGTGTTTTTAACCTCCTTTTAGATGTCTTTTTCTAAAAATAAAATTTTGTTGTCTTTTGGTTTGTTTATGAAGTTAGTGTGGATGAAGAGATTTAGGAGAGGCTTTCTAAGGGTGAGAAAGAGAAGTTTTAGGCTATAACCCATGCTTTACAAAACCTAATTTCTTACTTGTATGATGATTTCTTGGCTTCTACTTGTGATTCTTGTGTTGAAATGTGAGATTTGATGCATTATCTTGTGGTTATGCATGTTTAGAGCTTGTTCTTAGGGTTCTTGTATGCCATTGCTTGGCTATTTCTTGGGTTCAAGTCATATTGTTGCTTGGTGTGAGATTTTGGGTGTTTTGGACTTGAATTTGGACTTGTTGTTGAAAATCCCCAAAGGGATTATTTTGGAGTACAGGTGGTACCCGCGGGCGGAACAGCGGGCAGGGGCTTACCCATCGCCCCACCCGCGGGGAATGTGGTTCTCATGGGCTTGGTACCCGCGGATGGAGATCCAACCGTGGCCCCACCCGCGGGGAACATTGTTGGCGATGTCCGTGGATTCGTTCCCTGTGATTCTTTTGACTTGGTATTGATGTTTTGACCTCCCGATGTTGTTTTATTGGGCTATTTGTGAGTCTTCTTGATGTTTCGTATGTCTACAACGGTATGTTAGGAATCCATGTAGGATTTGGTGTCTTGAATCGTGCTAAGGGTCCGACTTTGTGATTCGTTGGACTATTGTGAGTCTTGAATGTTTTATTGAACTACCTTTGGTTTACCTGTTTGATAAGCATGCTAGTTTGATGTTGAAATGCTAGTATGGGCGGTGTGTTCTTTCTTAATGGGATTGGCAACTTGTGTTGACCATCATTTGGTGTCGGATTGAGATCCTTTGTTGTTAAGTATTGTTTAATATCTTTGTTGTGATCAGTTGATTGATTCATATGATATGAACGTATGTAATCGTTGTACCCTTTGATTGATACATGATTAAGGCTATTGTGGAACCTTAGTCTTCTTGGTAATGATGATGACTTTTGTGACTACGATTCACATGTGGGTGGTTGTTACTTGAGCTTTGCTCACATGTAGGTGGTTGTGTGAATGAAATGAATAGTACCCTCGTGTACTGAAATATAGGTGGTATGTTGGAGGCTATGTTGGAGGGGGGACGACGATCCCTGGCGGTATAAGGTTGGACTCAGAAGTACAGGGTGGCACTCGGAGATAATGGTTGGAACTGAAATAAGGCCGGGGGTAGCCATAAGGTTAGAACAGGGCATAAGGTTGGAACTTGAAACTGTGATACTTGTGACATGTTATTGGCACTGTGGCATGTAGTTGCCAATGTGTGAATGTGTATTCTTTGCTAATGAGCATGTCTTGATGTATTCTACTTTGTGATCAGTAGAATGCATCTCGAGTTGTAATGTCTTTCATGATTCTTGTCTTGTTGATTGTCGTAAGGATGTTGACTTCCTTTTTCCTTTTGAGAGTGTGAATGAGTCCTTGAAGTTGACTTCTCTCTTGGCTTTTGAAATGATATATATATATATATATTGTATTCCGTTTCAAAAATGGTTTTGACTTATACTATCTATATATGCTATTTAACGCGTATTGATGGGTTAGCAGCAATATTCGCTGACCGGGTGTTATCCCCATGTTATGTTTTCCTTGTTCTACAGGTTTTGAGTAGAGACCGAGAGCTCTAGACTGGAGCTTTAGATAGTTTTATCCTTTGTCTAGGCGTTGTGTTTTGAGCGGCCTGCGTGCCCTGACTCTTTAGACTTTGATGAATGGTTTAGTTTTTCCCGCCTGTGCATCTTTTAGTATTTAAGATGTGGCATAATGCCCCCGTATAGACTTGCTTCCGCTTTTGTTTAATGGTTTATTAGATTGCTTTTCTCTTGCAATTAAGTTTTAAATTTTGGTAAAAAATCAGGGGTGTTTCTGTTGGTATCAGAACCTAGGTTTGCGCCTAGGATGTTAGAGTCTAAACTTTAAGAAGTTTAGTGTGGTTTGAGACCCTAAGATGACATTTAAGTATCTAAGGTTTAGGACTTAGGACTTCTAGGACGCGTGGTGAGCTGTGTGTTGTTTACCGTTTGTTCTGTTTGCTTTGTTGTTTATGCTTAGCTTTAGCGTTCTAGTAGTTAGCGCCAGGTAAGGGTGCGTTGTTTGTTTGTGCCTACCGTAACCCTGTTGTTTCTGTAGAAGTTTCGTCATGGCTCCGCCTCGTCACCGCGCCCGTACGGCTGAGACGCCGACCAACAAGCAGTTGGCTCAGAACTTACAGCATCTCACGCAAACGATGTAGACCTTGAGCGTAGACCTTCTGCACAACAACCATCCCGATCCACCGCCGCAGCCTGCCGGGAATCGGGATGTGGGACGTCTAGTCTTAGGACATAGGCCACCGGTGTTCGCCGGAGAGGAGGATCCCGTGGTACTCGAGGAGTGGATCCGGTCCCTCGATAAGATCTTCGCCGTTGTAGGTTGCCCTGAGGATTGACGAGTAGAGCAGGCTTCTTTCTACTTCAGTCACTAGGCCGATCTCTGGTGGGTACACGAGGGTCCTACGTGTCAAGAAGAGCTTGGTTTCGATTGGACAGCCTTGAAGGACAGGATGAGAGAGAGGTTTTATCCATCGCACGTCCGAGCCGCCATGTACGAGGAGTTCTTACATCTCCAGCAGGGCTCGTCATCTGTGGTGGAATACCACAAGCGCTTCTTGGAGCTTGCCCGTTTTGCAAGGATGCCGGTCCCCACCGAGCTCGCGAAGGTGGAGAAGTTCGTGGCAGGGCTCAACTATGAAGCCCGGAAGGCATTGACTGTGAGCAAGCCGAGTACCCTGAAGGAGGCTTATCTTAGCGCGACAGATCTATACAGAGTACAACAGTTGCAGCGAGGGTCGTTTGGGTTCGTCAAGAAGATGAATGAAGGAAGTGGGGCCCACAATTTCAAGAAGCCGAGACAAGACTTCCGATCCAGACCCGCGTCTTCCCCACCTCAAGGATCAACTCGGGCGGAGAATGGAGCTCAAGAGAGGACTTTTGCCTGCAAGAGATGTGGAAAGGAACATGTGGGGAAAGATTGTCAAGGACTTGCACTCCGATTTTTCAAGTGCCCAAAGAGGGCACAAGGCATTTGAATGCCGGTTCCAACCCAATCAGAGAGCTTCGCCATCCGGTGTGAGACCTAGTGGACCCGCGGGAGGGAGTGCTAGCCAAGGTGTAGCTGGAACGATATCTTCGGGCCGAGTGTTCATTATGGGCCGGTCCCAGGCTAAGTCTGAGGGTTTGGTGGAGGAAGAGACAGCAGGTAACCTTTTCTTAAGCCTACCTTTATCTTGCGAGTGTGCCTTTCCTATGTGCCTTATTTCTTTGTTATGTTATCCTCCTATGTCTTTCAAGTGAGTTTCCCTTGTGATTTGGTTGTTATTCTGAGTGGTTTAATGTTAGTTGAAATCCCGAAGCCTTACAAGTATAATTTTAATTCGAACCTTTTTCTTTTAGGTCATCCAAGCCTAATTTGTTACCCTTAAATTTAGGATAGTCAACTTATAGGAAATCCCTTCAAGAGAAGCCTAGAAAGACAAAAAAAGAAAAAAAAAGTTTTAAATCGTAGCAATTAAATTTTGAACCTAGGTGTCCAAATTGCTAACCAAACCATTGAACCATCTAAACCAATTGTATTTCTTGAACCTTACCCCAATTAAATTCCTTTTAACCTATAATTTTCATCTTACCCAAAAATCCCCAAATTAAAATCTTCTTTTCCCAAATTTCCCAAACCCTTCTTCTTCTTCTTCTTCTTTTTCCCTCCACCCATAAACCACCCGAGAACCCCCCCCCCCCCCCAACCACTGCCCGTCTTCGACCCGCCCCGTCACAGCCAGAGTTTCGCCGCCGCAACACCTGCCGTCGCTGAGCCTCGCCGCCGTGAAACCGCTGCCAGTCGGAATCGAAGCCGAGAGAGAGGGAGAGAAGAGAGGAAGAAGAAGAAGAAAGGAAGAAGAGACTTTTGGAGTCTACCTTGAGTCTTTGGGTTATCTCAGAATCATGCCTTAGAGGTCTAATTTGATGAAGAGAATGGAATGGGTGGATGCCCACTACCTAGTGTTGGAAGGTAAAGCCTTTGACCCGACTCTTTTTCAAGTTCTTTGATGGAAATGTTGAACTATCAGGGTTTGTTGGATGGATTTCTCACCATTAGGATCGAGACTTACCCAAGTTTGGTGAAAGAGTTCTACCGTCACATGACTGTGACTAAAGATGGTGGAAGGTTGGAGGTAACCTCTAAAGTAAGAGGAGTAAATATTGTGTTGACTGAGAAAAGGTTGGCTCAGCTTTTGAGTTTAACAACCACGGGAGTCCCGCAGTATGGTGGTGACTCTTGGATTGGGACGGACAACATGAGTTATCGGGACTACCTGAGTTATTTGTTGGGGAGAACTAGTGGTTTTACCCAGGCCACGAGGCCGGAAAAGAAGTGGTTATCTGCTGAGCAAAGGATTTTGGTCATGCTTGTTTCTGACTGTTTGCTGCCCAATAATAATAAGAGTCGTTTGTTGGGAAAGTTGGAGTGCGCGTTTGCCTTTTGTTTGAAGAATATGGTGAAGTTCAACTTACATGCGTTAATGTTACAACACATGGTCTTTTGTCGAGATCATAACCACAAGAGTTTGCCGTATGGCATGGTTTTGAGCTGGATCTTTGCCAAGAAGGGAGTGAGTGTTGACGGTTGTGTGCCTAAGCCGGTGGACAAGATGGTTTTGGATGGCACAAACCTCCGTAGTTGCCACCTGTTTCAGCTAGATGATGGAGAGTGCATCACTCTTGAAGAGGTAGCCAGAAAAGCCCCTGCTGAGAGGAGTGCATTTGTAACACCCCATGTTACGACCCCTAAAACCAATTAATCATTTAACCAATTATCCAAAGAAAGAATTAAATTACAATAATTAATTAGGGAAAAGGCCCACCATGGTCCGTGGGCCATCACCCCTAAAACCCAACCCCTAGCCCTAAAAGGAATAGAATTAGCAAGCCTATAATATTAGTTCCTAATTAGGACTCCTAAATATATAAACAGGGGACTTAAGAGGCACCTAGAACCCCCCACCACAATAATCCCTCAACACACAAGAAATTCCAAGAATTCCCCTAGGAGAAATCAAGAAAGAAGAAAGCTTCAAGAAAGACCCTTCATAGCCAAGGAATTAATTAAGGCTAAAAGGTAACCCATGTCTCAACAAAACCTATTTTCATAGCTATGATTCCCCTCTTAGGATTTCCCCCATATTCTTGTGTGTTGATGATTCGTTATAATGATCTTGATAATTGGTGTTATGATTCCATGGGTAATCTTGATGATAAGAGATTCTTGACGATTATATGGTGTTCTTGATGATTATATGATGTTCTTGATGTTTATATGATATTCCTACCGAATCTTGATATTAGAAGATGAATTGTGTTCTCGTTGATTTAAAAATAATTAGAACCCTAGGTTATATCATGGAATTCGTATGGTATTATTCTTGGTAGATTGGGTGGGAATTTGTATGCTTGGGTGTTGATTATGTTTAGAAAAGCATGATAGGTTATGTGCCGTATGTTTCTTGATTTTGATCCGTTAATTGTCTACGTGTGCTATCAATTGCGTTGAAAGTGTCTAAGCATGGTTCCGGGTTCCACGGTGGTTCCCGGGGCGTTTATTTGTGAAGAAGAGTCAGTGGGGGGTAGGTGGGGGTAGGGGACCCGCCACCTACCCGCGGCTAAAAGTGGAATCGCCGGCAGCGGGCAGCCGGCGGGCGGGCAACTGCCCGCCGGGCACCTGCTGCCCGGAATAGTTGCCGCCGGCGGGTGAACCCTCACCCACCGGCTACCCGCTGGTTTGCACCCCAATTCGGGATTTTGGCTTCCCCGTTTGATGTTCCCCCGACCCCCGTGGTGTCCCAACGGACTCTGTCTATCGTGCCTATGTCTAGTTTGATATTTCGGGTACCGTTCGTAGGTTGTATGAGTCTTGTATATTGCATGCTAGTTGAATTGGTATCCCGTTGACCTAGGTGAAAGAAGTATGAACCCCTTAGGATTATTCTTAGTATGTGAAGCACGCATAGGTTTTGTTATATGTTTTCTCCCCCTTCCCAATGTGTTAATGTGGGTTGCATGTGCTTGCTATGTGTTATGTGTGCATGATACCCCAATTTGGTTGCGATCAAATTGGTTATACGGGCAGTCGAATAGGTTGAGAACCATACCGACTGTTAACCAGGCCGGTTGCGATCGGTCAGGTATATAAACATTATATAGGGCTGCGGTCCACCGTTTGGTTGCGATCAAATGGATTATACGGGCAGTCGGATGGGTTGAGAACCATACTGACTGTTAACCAGGCCGGTTGCGATCGGTCAGATATATAAATATTATATAGGGCTGCAGTCCACCGTTCTACATGAGCTGCGGTTCATTTTCCTGGCTGCGGTCAGATGACATACTCTTGGGCTGCGGTCCACTGTTTGGTTGCGATCAAACTATGATGAGCTGCGGTTCATCGGTCGGTTGCGATCGTCCCCTCCGTATTGTGAGACGGGGCAGGGTGCTGCGGGCCGTGTCAGAGCTATATGCGCTGACCCTCATGTATGGGCAAGCGATTGGTCCTGTGGCGCCAACAAAGTGTGCTTATGTGATGAGATATGGATGAGTTGTGATTATGAGTATCTTGGGGATGTGACTACGGGATCTACGTTGGGGATTGTTTATGTTGGGTTATGATTATTGATTATGCTCAGCCTTATCTACCTTGCCTGTTGCGAACTATATATGCTTGCTATAACTGCCGTTTGTGCTTAGCTCTATGTGTCGAGTCTATCCCTGTTTTAAAAGCTAGAGTTCGTAGGATATATCTTCATGTTCAAAATGGTTTTCGTATATCTATATATATCTCTATATGTATTGTACTTCAACGCGTTGGAGTGGGTTACCAGCATCTCTCGCTGAACAGATATATTTGGCTTTCAGGCACAGAAGAGTAGACACTGGAGCGCGCTAGAATCGTGGAGCATAGAAGTAGATAGTTTCCCTTTCGGCCTGCGTGCCACGGTTATGCATTTACTTTGTTGAGGATATTAGTTAGTTAGCCTGTGCACCTGAGTTCTCTAGCTCAAGTGTGGCATAGCACCCCGTACTCTTTATATTATGTTTGGGATTTAATGAGATTTTACCTTCTTTATATAAGTTTCAAAAGTTTCAAAAATCTGGGGTGTTACAGCATTGGTTGCAGAGCTCGAGATTCCTATCGGGAAGTTGAACCTCGCGGTTCAAAGTTTGGGAGGAGATGCTCGGAATGAAGGTGAAGAGGAACGGGATGAGGAAGAAGGTGGAGAAGAAGTCGAAGAGACCGAATAGAGCGACTCCGAAAGTGAAGAAAACCTTAGGAGAAAGGAGGCTAGAACCAAAAGGGGGGATGATGCTATGACACACGAGGAGCATGTGGTCACCCTTCTTCGTCAGTAGAACCGGATGATAGAGGAAGGTTTTGCTTACATGAAGGCTCACTTCGTCATTGTCAACCAGAGGTTGGACCAGTTGGAGGCCGGTTCTAGCCGTGGTAGAGCTGAAGAGGAGACGGACGAGGATGCCGAGGAGTCAGAGAGTGAGTCCTTCTAGACCGGAGTTGGGGTAAGCTCGTGCCTTTTCTCGTTTTGTCGTTGCCGATCAATAGTTGTTGCTTGTTGGTTGTGCTTAGTTGCTCGTTCTTGTTTATCTTGCTTGATAGTTGTTGTTTGGGTAGTTGGTGTAGTTGGGTTGCTTTGTTAGAATCTAGATGTTATGAGTTTAGGTGCATTTTAGAAGGCTTTTAGTTGTTGCCGTTGTCTCGGTCTTAGCGTTTGTGTTGCTCAAGAAGTCCTTTTCTGACCTTTTTAAACCTTGCAATGTCTTGCCTTTTTGCAATCTTACGCCTTTGTATCCACGAAGTTTTGGTTAAATGGTACCTTTGCTTTCCTTTTGTCACATGGTTGATTTGCGTTACCCGTTTCGTTGAACTCGTCGTGCCCAAGCTTCGGGGACGAAGCTTCTTGTTAGGGGGAGAGGATGTGACACCTCGTAAATCCAAACTCTAATCAAGGATTAATTAGAGAATTAA